GGTCTATTTAAAAATGAAGAAGGTATAGTAACTGCATAAACAAATATTACGTAACTATTTATGTTTTGGGTCGTTTTCATGGATGTTTAGAGATTTAATACCAGTAACCAATAAAAACATTTATTTTCAACTCATCGTTTCGATTTATGTCGCCATATTTTACACATATACCTTTTTACATCTTGTGGGAGAATATTAAAACTTAAAAATTTAAACACACTACAAAATGTTAATAAAATAAATGTTCAATATTTATTCACAATAGTTCGGCAGTTATTTTATTATTTCACTAACTTTTCCCTTTCACACGCACCTGCTACGCTGTTTAATGAATGTATCGTCTCTCGCTCAAACTGTACAAATAACAAATAAAATAACTTTCAAAAAAATCTAAAAGCTACATTTAAGAGCGTGCGCACACCTGAAACTAAAATATCGCACAACTGCTTCAATTTGATTCCAATTAGCTTATATGGAAATGCGCACATTACTCGGTTTTTAGTAAACTAAACAGTTGAATTGGCTGCGAAATAATCGACAATCGCACAACAGTTGCAACCATTCAAAGTCAAACCAATTCAATGACAGTAAAATATTTTAAAAAATTAGCAACATAGGCCCTAATGATGTATGTTGATAAGTTCTATGGAATTCCAATGCGATGAAATTGCTGTCTCTATTTTTTTGAAGAAAATGAGAGGGATGAAATTATGTGTACTATTGCCTACACCAGCCACCTAGCTGCAGTCGAAACCCATGGTTAGTCACTTACGGACTCTGAATATGAACACTGTAAGGCCGTAATAATTCCAACGTAACTGTCATATTGTTGTATTGTTCCTAAAAGACATTTTTAATTGGAATTTATTTTTATAAATAACTTCAAAATGACAAAGTTAATTACTATTCACTTAATTGAAATCGTCATTTAAAAATCTGGCGCAAATAACAGTCGCTTTGCTTTAAGCAATTAAGGAACATCTGTTTGCATAAGCTTTAATAAATACTTGACCTATTTCAGTATACATACAAAATATACTTGTATTAATTTTAGACAATAATGGTATATGTATAAAATGGCTAATATTATAAAAGGAAAGATTTGTATATTAAATAAAAGAATTATTATTGTTGAAGATTAGCTACAATCATTACAAGCCTAGATTGAATTGCTTGACCCACCAGAAGTATATGTAGACAATTTCTGACACTGACATAAAGACAGCAATCTCACGTTGCAATTTAGCTCCCATACCAACAAGCGCTGACAGATTCACAGCCAAGACAAGATCTGAAGACGTGTTCTCAGTAAACACACATGTTCGCACTACGTTATACAGAGAATGGCCTTTGGTTATCTAGTTCTCGACTTTGTAGTATGTTCTACGTCGACCATTGGCATTGTAAATGAATTCACTAGGCCATGAATTATTTGTTTATTTCTGTTATCCTAGTATGATCAATTAAGTCTTTTATGTCTTTAATAGGTAAACTAGTAAAAACTATCAGTGCTTTAGAGTAGGGCGTGATTGAGCGACGGCCCAGGGCGCGACAGAAAGAAGGGTCTGAAAGGGCGAACTGATAAAAAAGGGTCGCCGTAGAAATGTCGCCCTGGGCGCTAATAGCAATAAAACCGATGCGGGTTCCTATCTTTGGACCACATTAATATCAAAGGAGATGGTAGGCAAGCGATGTGCTGGTTTTTCGATGTGAAAATACCATAAAGTATATCTTTAACTACTTATTTTGGTTAAACTTAATGACAAAATTACAAATAGTTACTCGCTTCGTCAGCAATTTCCCACTGGGTAAAACCCTATCGAACCGTTCAATGAAAAGCCAATAAAATAACTATTTCCTGATGTCAATAGCCCTTGCCCCTTGTGCGAACAACATGGCGCCATGGTCATTAATTCATTAGGAAGCTAGATCAGACATAGGCGGTTCTGAAAGTTACTGTATAGTTACTACTATAGTATCAATAGTACTAGTACACTTTCGTGTACATTAAAAAAAATATTTATCTAATTATGTATTTTAGTCTAGACATGTCTTCAGCAATAAAAATAATTCTCATTTATTACTGAACTAGCTGTTCCCGTGCTGTTTCATCCGCATGAAATTATGGAAACTTTATTTTGTTGTTTTTATTTGTCAAATTATCAATAGCAAATGTCAAAATGACATAACATGACAAAGCTTGGCAATCTTACTTCCTTCATGTTGGCAGCAACTTATGGTCTCTTTCCCACATTAGGTTTTTATCCAAAATATTTACCCCTTAAGTTTAATGGTGAAACATAGCCTAAAGCATGACTTAGGGCTTTTCATTAAAAAAAGGATTATTCAAAAATATGCTGTAATTGCTGACATCTTAGGCAACAAAGAAGTGTGTGTTTACGCTAAATTACAATAGTATATATAAATTATTGATGTTACTTTTGTTCTACAACCTTTGGTTTTTATGAAAAGTTTGAATATTTAACTAGTCGTTCCTTGTTAGAATTGCGTTCAGTTTGGTGGTAAATAGGAATTGCTGTATAATTAATAGTCTTAAACAAAAGGGGTCAATTTAATTAAAATATTAAGGCAAATAGATAGTTAAGGATTTAATTCTTCAATACAAAAGGACTATTTAAGCGTATTAACAGTGCGCTTAACAAGCCACTTTATTTAGATTGCCGCCGTCCCGTTTGAACGTATTTAAAATTACCGGACGGAATTCGAATGCCATATGACATATTTTTTTACATACCTACTACTTGTGCTATATATAGAGAATATATTAAAAAAACGAATATAGAAAACTTTAGAAAGGATCTGTAATAATGTAGGACTTTTATGTAGACTTTAAATTTCAGAACGGTTAGAGTGGTTGTTGTAGAATATGCTTATGTATCATACAACTAAATAGATGTTAATTCTATTACGAGCATTATCGATTAAAACCTTGTTACGACTTTATAGGCATATCGTCACCATAGATCGTTATTCAATCGATATATCAAGATTGTCACAAGACTTCCGTCCGTTGGTTTCTTTTCAACGGCTGTATTAATCCGTCATCGTGTCGATTATAATCGATCCTAAATCGAGCATCGAATGCACTCGATTGTAAGATATTCAGAGAGTGTCGCGGTGGAGGAAGCGACCGTCACGGAGTCCTAACGAGACGGAATTAAATACGAACGAACTGTCTGCTTACAAGTTTTAATAATTTTCCCTTTTATTCAACGGTCGCGCGTTCTTGGAACACTATCCACATTGTGACGCGTTTCTTGATTAGAGTCGATGTGTTTCGAATAATATGAAATAAGTTATGACATTGTTTATATGAGTATCATTCACTAAAAGACAATTTTATGTTGAGATTTGATACAATTGTAGAAAGGAGTAGGAACACCGAACAAAGAATGTAAATAAACTAAGAAAGTAGATTAGACATATAAGTATATAGAGAAATGACGGATGATTATGGAAAAATAATAAAACACTATCTCTTCCAGAGGGAAAAGGGGAAATCCAATAAATTTGATTTAAATCAAAATTACTTTTAACGCATGTCTTATCAATAACTGAATATCAAGTATAATAGTAAAGGTTCTTTTCCACTGTATCCATTTATTATAGATGCATCGAATTTTAGGAATATCAATAAACACAATAACATCGATTACATTACATCAGTGTCACAATTACTTTATAATATCTCAGGCATACGGCGCAGTTAATATTTAAACAATGGTATAAATCGCGTGAAGTCTCGACCGTGCTTTGGATTCTCAATACAAATATCTGTTGGCTTGCATACGAAATACATGTGCATAACAACACAATAAAAATTGTGAGAAATAATAGGTTTAAATTTTCCAGTACTTTTACATATTTCACGAGATTTCTTTTGTTCTTAATATGACTATAAATTTCAATGCAACTATAAAACGATACTTTAATTTTGTGTACTGACATTAAATAAACCATGTTTTTCATAATAATTGCGCCCAGATATTTATAATGCCTGGTTTTGGGTTGAATTTTTCCAACAGTATTGTTAACTTTTGTTTTACGTAAGCACGTACTCAAATATAAACGGTGTACTTCACAAACAAAAATATCGCTGTAGTTAAACATCCAGAAAACATATAGTTAGTAGAAAATGCTTAATATTCGTAAACAGTGCACTGTTTAAAAAAGTTGTTCTAGAATTCTAACTTTCATTGATAAGAGTACAACCAATTATATTCTGTTTATTATTTCAATGATCTACTTAACAAAAATCTTGTTGGGTGGGCTATTTCTTCATAATAAACTTTAATTCCTTCCTTTCCTAATACAATACTTGAAACGGAAAAATCACGTTAACGACTCATCCTTTTTATTTCTCTCCATTATTTACTTATTACACAAGATCAAAGGACAATTACTGTCCATTAAACGAAATGAATCAAAGAACATCGAGACGTCTACAATGTCACGACTCTAAAAAGTCGGATGACCTTAATATGGACCGACACTTATAAATATCTCCGGAGAAAAGGTGGTCGGAAGTCGTAAATCTACTTAATTAGTCAATTTTGTTTTGTGAAAAGTTTGATTACGAATTTAAGTACGATTTATGACCTAAAACAATGAGACAAAGAACCGATACAGAGTAATAGCTATAACATTTTTTTAATAAGATAAATTGACTAAACAGATATTAGATAAATATTACGAAATTATCGACTTTAAGGATTTTATAGATTAACGATTCAACGTAATATTACGAGCGTGGTGGATAGAGTTAAAACACTTTGATAATTCTTCTATAACTAATTTACTAGCGACTTTTCGTAACAGGGATTCACTTCACTTTTACAATTGTCCTTTACACTACAAATTATTATATAAATTAAATGCAAATATTTTTTTATGATTATCTTCCTATTTCAGAAACCTACCCTAGTGAAACAGGATATACTCGTAGTATATAATAAAATTTTATTGCAATTTTAACGTACCTTTTCACAGACACTTCGACAGGTACCATTTGCTTTGCTGCAGCACGCTGATAGTTCTGTAATGATAAAAGACATGTAAGCCAAGCTTAATCTCCACTGGTCGACGTATCACAACAGCTGGGCTTCACCGTAAACTGCCTGCGACAGTTACAGATGACACTATAAAGCTTTTGATCTATTTCTCATCGCCTCTAACTCACATCTGTGATATTGTTCCACATTACTGGAACTCTCGACAATAAACCTTGTGGGAGGAGACGAATCGTTATTGTTTCTTTGACATATTTTAAGTGCTTCAAGAAAGAGATTCTATTTATTATGTTCTTGATAATATATGTTGTCAAAATTTATACATATGCAAGTTTGTCTATCATGAGAAAAAGCAAGCATTATTTTACATCTATGGCAATAACGAATCTAAAAATTAAGGAATGAAGTGAAACGAAATAGCTCGATGTACAGCAAATTACATATCTTGACTTTTATCTTAGAAAATAGATATCAGAATAAGCAAAGCCGTAGGTAAGGATATAGCATTAAGTAAACAAAGTAGACTTTAGAGTAATTCCAATGAATATCGGTTACAAGCTGGTTCATAATTATCAACTGTTTATCAAGAGCCCATCGACTTTGAGCGATGCGTAATCGATTAATCATATCTGTACATTTAGTTAATATCGGGATAAGAGAAAGCACAGACTATATTTACTAGAGACCAAGTCAAGCCTCGAGCGAAATTATAGGAAGGACGCAAATTGATAAGACGACGATGCGGTTACTGATTGCAAGCATTGACGGTAGTTGTATTTAATAATTCAAAGAGCTTAATAATTTTATAATGTCTACCTTTGAAAATGAAAATATAAGTTTGTAAATATTCCTACCAATTAATTCCATCAATAATTACCCTTAACTGGGTTTTGAATTATAGTTTTATTGAAGAGTCTAAAAATCGACTGAATTAATATGTGTCGACTTTACAAAAAAGAAATCGGTACAAATTTATGTGAGTTTAATGTAATGATTTAAATCAGATTATGTTAAATCTAGTGTAAAGTTAATCTGTTGAATTCATTAGCATTATCCAGTCGGTCCGTTACAGTCAGCTCTCGATCTCGAGACGCTCACATTCCAGATGGAACTAATTCGCCCAACCATTAGCTGCTTCCAGGTCAAGTTATCTAATAAATCAATTTATCCGTCAAGGAAATGCTATAGACAAGCTCCCTTGTGTTAAGACTTCTATTTAATTACGTTCCTAATCAAATAAAGAACGGTATAAGATGTAGGCGTAATTATGAAAATGATGCACTCGGGCTAGAATCTATTCAACTCGTACTCAAGTAGTATCCTATCTTATTAGATGTTAGAGCCAATGTAATTATTGTATATACATTTTTCACATGAGTTGTTACTTTATTTAAATGATGAATTTAAATGAAATTATTTAACGTGGAATCAGGGCATGCACCGGACTGAATTACATATTCTTACCACGATTCCAACCAAACAGCTAATTTATTTAGTGGCTGTACACACGGCATACGCAATCCTCCCCGCTCGATACAAATTTAATTGTCATTGTTATATATCCATTTAAAATTAGGTAACAATCTCATATGTTTTTGGTAATTTTTATTTTAATATTGAAAACGTGTACTTCACAACTTAACTCTTCAAATGTATAGAATAAACGTAGAAAGGAATAAGAAAAGAATGTGGTCATCGCAACTACCATTTCAGCACTATGCTCATACTTATGGTTGAGGAACTTTGTGTAAATGGTGAGTTAGATGTTTTTGGTATTCCATTTCCGATGAATCTCAATTTGCACTACAAGATGTCTAGTGAGTAGTGTCTGTATATGTTGGGGTAAACTGGATGTATACAGATCGTGTTACGCCATCGCACCGCATCTGCGCATTACTCGCGTGAATCATTCATACAGACGATTACAGCATAGAAATTGAAATGTTATCAGCTTGTTGTTTATTAAGCTCGCCCGCTTGCATATTGAGTGCTTTACTCGCTTACTGTTTTATTACATCCTTTGTCGCTGTGCATTTATATGTTTAGTACTATGCATTCCTTGTATCTGTATTTCCGCTTCTAAACTAATGTTATGGAATTAGGTTATTTTATAAAAGTTACAAGTTTAAAACTACAGTTTGACAAACAGCCGAAGTTACAGAAGTTGATAGTTAGTTGTGATCAATTACGTTCACTTTAGTACTTCTTAGCGTTATAGTGTAAAATAAATAAATAAATCCTTTAACGGTATGTAAATTGAATGACAATTACCTTGTGATTCAACGAAGGCTAAAGTGAAGCTCGCAATAATCAATTTGGTCCACCAACCGCAGCCGCTTTGCGCGCCGCGCGTTCTCTTCCTGCATACCTTCGTTTTGCAACTGCTTTTGCTTCGGGAACATTCTGGAACAAAATTTCATCGTCTAAAGTAAACATCTGTTTATAACTCTATTATATGAATAATATTTGATATCAAATACAGTCACGTTCACAGGTCGTTAATTCGTCAGATTACTACATTTATCGCTTCACCACTTCTCGTTACACATTGGTGTTAGTACAAATGCTGGTTAAGAATACGTATACGAATGTATCGGGAATAGGTTAATGTGGCTATGATACTATGGCAAAAATATTAAAAACCTACTTCTTAGAAGTGACAAGAATATAAACAAACTTGTATCAGAAATTAAATCTACGACCCGAAAAGTACACATTCACATTCACATTCACTTAATTCACAATCCTTAAATATTGTTACAGATAATAAAAATCTATCTTTAATATTGACTTTAAAATCCAGTACAAATAGCAAAAGGTTTTTATCTCAATATTTAAGTATGTAAAAAACTGTCGAAAAGTAAACTTGAAGTATTTAAACTTACATTTGGACAGTTACTTACATAAGAGTTATTTTCAACAAAACGTAGTAAGCTAGCATAAGTTGTAATCCTATCGGAGCTTAATATTTCACACCAATGGGCCACCCGTCTTGTTCCTGTCCGGACATAAATCTCTAAGGGTGCGAATGCGAACCCATCCCTTGTGCCCGCTTCGAGCCACCACAAGGCCTAACTGAAGAAAATGCCTCGTGAATTATTACATTTGAAACTTATTTATTATTTTATTTACATAAAATTCTGACCGTTAAATTATTGTATAATCGTCTAATCGCCAACTCGAACAATACTTTCACATTGATCTCGTAAAAAAAAGCCTTTGAAAATTTTGTTAACTGTTGTTATAACATAAAAATAAGGTTTCTAAGGTACAAACAACACCTATTTGGTACATAAATCATAATACGAACATTCAGTCGTAATGTAACGGAACGTAAAATCTTTTTCATGTGACGTCAAAACACATTTTGAATTTTACTTAAAAGCATTATCATGTCCCTATTTTGAACTAAGCTCATGGATAACGCTTATTCTGAATCCTCTCAGAGGTTGACCTGATCTGAATAGGTAAGCTTTATGTGATTCTGCTGACTATATACCTTTCTAAGGGTTGCCGTACACGGACAACTTCAAGCAGTTAGCGACCGACAGCGCCATTGCCGCACTAACCATTGAAACCGCCTTTACCACTACGTTATATGGCCTTAATATGGCCTTATACATACATACGACAATATCATTTGTCAGAAAAATATTTTTCCACAACAGTGAAAAGGTCTCCCCCATAAAGTCCTGAAACTTTTTTAAATCTTTGACAACTCTGTTCATTTTGTAAAGGACTATAAAAGCAATAGAGTTGTCAAGTTTGTTTATTTGAACCGCGTTGTATTCTTGATAGTAATGTTTTAATGAATGATGTTACAAAATACCTGGAATACAGCGCGTTGTTTCCTTGTTCGGTGGTATGTTCATGTCCCGAATACAAATGTACATTTCCATTACTCGTATATTTAAAGAAAGTCTTGATAAAAATATATTTTTAGTGTACACAATTCACCCCTTTATTTTTTAACTCAAACTCCTTAAAGATTCATATGCCTTTTTGTTAAAATTTAAATGTTTACATATTTAATTATAAAAACCAATTGTAACTTCATTAATAACTTATGAACCACAATCGGTCGCATAATGTAACTAGAAGTTTTGAAGTGATTTACGTTTATAACAATAATATTACTTTGTAGCTAACATTACGTATATAACCTATATTATTAATAATCTGTCAAAAGGTCATTGACCTGTTACAATGTTCCATACACAATAAAGGATCTGTTTCAATACAAAGTTTTTGTAGATAAGAGTCGTGCAGTCCTATGGGTCTCCGTACACTGGAAACTTTCCACCTTGGAGCACAATAAAGCATTTTTATTCACGTCTATCCCACTCCCTGGTGATTTGTGCTGAGAGTTTCTCAAAGATGTGAGTCGAGGTGTTCCCGACGTGACTAGTTCTAAATCGCCGAGAGCTATGTTCAAACTGGAGGACTAAGTTTAATAGAACAATAATTTCTAGATAGTTCTAGAACTTTTAAACGCACCTCACATCTGTCAGAAATAATAAGTCTCTAATATTTACTTTCATCTGAGTGTAAGAAAGTCAGGAAATGGACTTTCGACTTATTTATGTAATTATTTTATATAAAATCAGCCTAATATAACCCAAAAAGTTAAGGTCCATGTGATGTCTGTGGTAACATTTTGAAAAATAAGTAAATTTTTAAATTTTTTTTTAAATGTTCACTCATTATTGTTACTAAAATTGCTTTATTTCCATCCATCGCGTCGTCGTTTATTTTAATTCTACTTTTTTTTAAAAAATCATACGACAGCGCTTTCCATCATCAACCCAATATTTATTGTTCAAGATACAACCACTTAAGACTCCCCATTTCAGCTGTCTTTTAAAATCACGTTTGCATTGTTATGGGAGTGTCAGTGACGTTTTCAATTCGTCATTTATTTGATGTTAAATAAGAGCCTTTTTTATATAAAATCAAAAACCAAGCACTAAAATAAATGATGATAAAAGTGACACTGAAGTCCAACACAATATTTTATTAGTACAATTCATTAGGTTGTCAACCACTCGACCAACCAACCAATCATTCTTATATTTCTTATAACTATTTATTCTTACTTATATAAAAGGTTTTATTCAAATAACTTTTCTCGGCATTCTTAAAATTCCATCAGTGGTCTGCAATTCCTTTTACACGAACGACCAAAGGCCATTAAATAAGACATCTCTCTGAAATGGATGTGCTTGCTTGCTGGACTGATAGACTTCCCTAATGTAAGTGTATAAAATATATGCTTTTAGGAAATAGAAAAAAAACATTGAAAAACTGAGAGTAATAGACAAATGAAAATTACAATAACGCCCGAAGGATGTACGATTTTTTTCGCAAGGAATAAGCAAAGAAATGAAAACTGACTGAAATGTAAGCTTTTATACAATGTAACAATAATTAAATTTATATCACAAAGTCTGTACCATCTCTCCCAAGACTTCCTTACACTCGCCAACACTTACATAACATTTATAACTGCGGACACTTACTTTATTATTCCGCGAATTCCACAATCATAATACAGAATAATGAATTTTATTTCATTTGGTATCAACCTACGACAAAATTAAAAATTCATCGCCTACGTACATCAATCCCTGTAAAAGTTTTAGTAAAAAAAATCCAGTAAACAATAGAGGTGCGATAACGTGTTGGTATAGGAAGCCATTGCGTTAATGATGGGAAGGGCTTTGTTTGACGAAGTGACGTTAACGGAGAGAAACAATTGCTGCCTTCTATTGATAAACGGATCAACATTAATAATGTTTAACTAATAGAACCCGGAGTTGGGTGAATTTTTACGATGATAATAAAATGATATTTTAAAAATAAACTAGCTGTTCCCGTGCGGCTTCATCCACATGAAATTATAAAAACTTTATTTTATTGCTTACATTTGAAAAATTCTCAATTGCAAATGTCAAAATACCAATGACCTTACTATGGCAATCTTGCTTCTTGATGTTGGTAGTTCATATCGTATGGTCTCTTTCCGACATTATGGTTTTTATCAAAATATTTACCCCCTAAGTTTAATGGCGTGAAAATATATAGCCTAAAGCGTGACGTAAGTGTAGGGCTTTTTATTAAAAAAATAATTATTCAAAAAGATGCTGTAATTGCTGACATCTTAGACAACAAAGAAGTGTGTGTTTACGCTTTATTATAATAGTATAGAAGTATAGATTTGATTACAGTTCCCCTGTTATCATGAGTGATAAAATGGTATTAGAATATTACAGCTTTTAAAATTTATTACAATCAATGGTTAAACCCCAATACATAGTTTTACTAGGTATAGGGGCTCTACGCGCAGTGAATACTAGATTTTGTTACTTGATAAGATCTCTCATTACTTCGTAAGCAAGGCTTCCATATGTGACGGCATCATCTCTGAATTTAATTAACGAAGTAAAATGTAATTCGAGATTCCTTCTAGTAATGGTATATATATTACGGTCCACTGCCACACTCACAACTAAGGGAGCCCTTAGTTAAAAGTTAAATATCACAGCTCCTCAAAAAAATGTTTTCTTTTAATTATCTTTTACAAATATTACAGTTTAATGTGTATTCTTCTCATGAATTCCGCAAACATGCACTATTTTCTGTTTCACGATCAAGTACGTTGTTAATGAGCACTTAAAACTGCTATTAGCAGTTTAATTATTGCCCGACCGAGGATGTTGAGGCTACGCTCTCTACCACTGATACTCGTGAATTTATTACATTAAAAATATACGCTCTAGCACTCCGCTATCTTAAAAGTTTATTTCTAGTATCTATATTTTGCATATCTCGAGTCCTAAACTACATCTCTATTTTCTTCTTTTAGCAATTAGAGTTAGCGAAATTATATTTTAGTGTTTAAAAAATCCGACTTTTGTTAGTTTCGTAGCTTCCATATTTATTCGTTGGCTACGAACATAAGGGCTACGGTCGTAGACTATAGATTTATTTTCACTTATGTACCTGATTGCATATTAAATGATATTTGGGAAGAAATTATATTTTTTGGAATCAGTAACTTACATTGTTTAGTTAACTATAGACTGAAACTTTACGATTTTTTTGTTATAGTAAAATAATTTGTTATAATAATTTTAAAGCATAGAAATAAAGTTAGTCACATACCTGTAGTGTTGATATTTTTTATATTTTCGTTCTTTCTAGCACCGTTCATCTTAAACTCATATATCACATCAAAGCTTACAAACAGACATCTCTTATCTTTATGTATACGTAATGTTCCCGTTTCTTAGTAAAGATAACAAAAATTCACAACACAAATTAACTTCGATCACTTAATTTTAAAGAGACTTACACAATTTTATTATTTCCAGCAGTATTTTTATAATTATTTAAAAATTTCTACGTAATTATTCTTAAAACTTTTCCGATACCGTCGTAGAAATCGCGCGCTTTTTTTCACGAGTAGAAAACGCAACCTAACTCACAACCTTTCTCGCGCCAAATTGACGCGCTACTAAATAGACCGGTATAAATTCATTCAACTTCACGAGTAGACAGGCCATCTCTTTCACACGAATTAATTGCGTATACTTTCGTCTCTATCGCTCGCTTCCGCCTGATGAACCCTATTGAGCTCGTTAGTCATTAATTAATTCTGCATAAGAAAATTACTTTTAATTTAAACGGTACACAGATGTGACCGTGACTGTTTCAACTGCACCGAGTAAAATATTGTTACTGTACGGTGGACGGACAATTTGTTCGTCTTGGGCGGGCGCTGTCAACTTTTTAAAATAATACTTTCAAGTCTTCAGCACAATCTTATTAATTTTATTGCAGCTGTCACTTTTTATTTACACATTTTAACTTTCAATATTTTTCGACGATCTTAAGTCTATTATTTAAGTTACCTTAAAAACAATAATCAAAAGTGTTTTAATACTGAATACAGGTTTTGTTAAAACAAAAAGTGGTTAAACTGTCACAGAACGTCTATTTTGTTAGAATTTCGCCATAATTATACAATAAAAAATATTTTAGATGTTTGTTAATGAATTATACTGATTGTTTTGTATTATAATTAATACAATAAACAGTTTCTAAATCGTACAGTGGTAATAAAATAGAAACTTTTCGAGCACAAAGTAAAATTTATAGTTTTTGAAGTAGTAAGCTTTCAGTAGCAAGCGCCAATTGCGAGCTCCGTAACTCTTCATTACATCACAAATAAATATACAATGAAGATGAATAGCTCACATAAACGATACAAGAAAATATATTTTGACATATTCACATAGCGAAGAAAGATTTAAAAGTGATTCACATTTGAGTAAAGTCAATATATTTTAGTAATATTCAAGACGAGTTTTCTACTGCCACAGTACTTATAAATTAGCTTTTGACAGTGACAACGTACGCGCTGAATTAAAAAAAAAGTAGCCTATGCTTTTTTTAGTCTATATTCTACAGCTGTACCAAATTTCATCGAGATCTGTTAAGCCAAACAAACATCCATCCATCAAAACTTGAGCATTTAATATTAAAGATAGATTGTCTTTTGCTAAGAGAATGAAAAGGATGAAATACGTTTCTTCCACTCAAAAATGTTCTAAGTTATATAGATTCCACATTAATATAACGTTTGTTTTATTTTCGCTTTGTATTGTAAAAAAATCTGTATTAAAATGTAACAGCAGGCAGTCATATTGTGCGCAGTTTGATGACATTGTCGTGTGTTTGCGCGTCAATATTGGCTCCAACTGTGTCCTAACAAAGGGACTAACGAACTAGCGTGCTTGATTGGCTTATATTATATCTAAACTAAACTATTACGTTCAGAATAGTTATTATATAAAAACTATAAGCTTTGGCACTGGCAAGTTTAAAAAATGACACGCCGCATTCTGCAGTTATGTAGAAATTGCAATTGTCATTTTGTTCGGAGTCATCCTTTTCTTTTTCTTGGCAAATATCTTTTTTTTGCATTCAGCTTAAAACTCCGATTCGCTTTGCTCCTCACTCCTTCACCTGCGTTTCAATACAATGTAGATAAAATAGACGTTACATTTTACTGCGACATAAAAACAATAAATAAAACTTTACTTACCATTCATACCCTCAGTGTTACGATGTTTCGGTCATAACTTTCACCTGTAAATAGATATGAGCAACTGTAATAAAAATTGAAAAGGCTTCACGTAAGCTTTTACTTACATTCAATTTCGGATACCTATATTTTTATCACTCACCAAAGATTTATAATATGCCTTTCTAAACTATATAAATACAGGGAGTAACCATTAAAAGCCATTTCGTCATTTAGATTAATGTTAAGTATAGGTTTTCACTATTATAGAAAGACTAGCTTTCGCCCGCGACTCCATCCCCGTTAAAAAAAAACAAAAGTGAATAGACTGTGATCTTCCAGACTATCTAAGTCTATAACAGATTTGATCGAGATCCGTTCAGCCGTTTAGGCTACAAACTCTAACAAACATATATCCATCTAAACTTTCGCATTTATAAAACTAGTAAGATTCACATAATTATTAACCACAAGACTGATATCTTGTAAAGATTTATAAAACAAAAGCCCTTGTTAGCGGTTATCAGGTAGCTAAAAGCTCGAGTGGGTACGCGTGGGATAAGCACTTACAGTCTCCTTCAAGTGTAGCCTGGCGCGACATCTTGTCTTTACCAATTAGCTAGCCCTTTTTGTACAAGCTAGTCTAATTAATTACTGTTCTAATAGATTCATTTTCTGATAAATTATATAAAAAAATTAAGGAAACTAATTGCGTAAGATATTTTATTACAAAAACTTCTAATTGACATAGAAGAATTAGTAAAACCGATGACTCCTGATATATGAAGGAAAACACTCTACATCGTAACTACGAGTAATATTAGTTGTCGTTATTTTAGTTAGCCTTATTTCGTTGCAGGGATTCACGGCAATGCATAGAAAACAGTTTCATGAATAAATTTACATGACTCGCGACCGTCAAACGGAAAAACACAGGAAACTGTATGCAAGTTGATTAGGCTTTCAATGTACGGTAGAGAAGTATGAAAAGATGAAACAAGTTCTCGTGCCTTTGACGTAAAAGGTAGACTGTAATTTCGATTGCCAATCTTTAGACTGGGCTGTAATGTTTGAAATCTCACGTCATATAGCTAGCTTGGTTATTATCAACCAAAAAATAATCGTATTAAAAACCTAGTTATATAAGAACTATTTAAATATAAGAATGTCATATTATATGAAATTATTCGCTACAATATTACAACTTACAAGATATATTCTGTTGTTTACCGCCAAAATTTACGATCGTTCGAAGCCCACAATCTTGTTAGCGCCACCTGCGTTCTTTACAACACTTCACATAAATCATAAATATTGTTTTGTTTAATGCTATCAACTCAATTTCATATATTGAATTAAAATGGAAAAAATAATATTTTGCGGCAGTGACAAACACTTATCAAACACCGGACTCTATGTAAAAAAATAAATAAATATAAGTATGATGTACAAAATAAAACGTAAGCTACGTATTGGAGATGTGTAAACCGACTCACCAATAATTATGCATAATTAACAAGGTAATTCGCGGACAGTTTTTTTCGGTTACCTACATCACAATAAGAGTAACATTTTAGTGTAAATCCTCATCCATATTGATTTACTGAAAACGTAATCCGATATCCAAAGGGTTATTTTTGTGCAAAAATCATGAGCAAACAGCGTTCATCCGACAATGATAAATTGCGGAGGGGCGAAGTGAAACGGCCCGCGTCCGTGATCTCGCTTCATTTCCTATGTCGCACTAAAACTGACGCCGATGAAGTATTTAGTTGTTACAAATGCAAGCTTACAGCGCCTTACAATACCTAATAAAAATTGTATTTAGGGCCTGTCCCACCACTGGCTGATAGAGTATCAGATACTTAAAAATTATGTTACTGTCTGATAAGGGAACAAAAGCCGATATTTCCATCATACATTTTACACGTTGGATTGTTATTAGACATTTTACAATTTGGTTGGACAGGCCCTTAGATGTGTTTAAACAAGCCGGTTATTACAATTTTGGGATGCATGACCCTATTTCGAAGAATTTAAATTATTCTTGCACATTTTCCTATGTTTACTTAAGTATACTGAAAACTTAAAATTGCACAAAAGGTGAAAGATTCTTTCTTTAAAAAAATTCTTTTACTGCATGGCCATGTAGTTTGTGGTTAAATATTGACATTTTACTTGCCATTTGTTGCGTTTTTTATATAATTTTAATGTGTTCTCAGAAATATCTTATCCTTCATAAAGATGAATGGGAAAGAATAAAAAGGCAGCACAAACCTTCTGAAGAGCCTACCATCGACAAGGAATATATCCAGCGCATGCACGAACTATCGCAGGAATGGATAAAATCATGGCCGGATACTATAAAGGTAAAGGATATATCCTGTGGTGGAGATATTAAGAAGCAAAAGGTTAGCGTGGTATGGACATGTTATGCGACGAGACGATGGGGGACATAAACCAGAAAGTGTTAAGAATGAATGTGGATGGCTACAAAGGAAGAGGAAGACCGAAGAAAGTATGGATGGATTGTGTGAAAGAGGATATGCTTAAGAAAGGAGTGGTTTCAGATATGATGGCTGATAGAGATATGGAAGAACAGCACATACTGTGCCGACCCTCCTTAAGGGATAAGGGCAAGTTGATGATGATGATATATTCTGCAAAATAATGCTTGCTAATGATTGCTTACATTTAAACCTTTCTTCTTTTTTTCAGGGTCATATTGAGATATTAAAAAAGATCGAAGCCAAAAAGCGTAAGAAAGATATCGAAAAAATAAAACGATTTGCTGTACAAAATAAAAAAGATAGTTCCGTACAGGCTATACAAAAGGCAAGAAAGATTATATTTGAAGATAGTTGCTATGGAAAGCAACTAATTAGGTTAGTTGAGAAAACTTTAAGCTTACAACTACTACAGAGTTAGTAAGATAACTCACAAATTCCTTACAACCATTCCAGTTGCCTTATAGAATCTAAAACTATAGAAGAAAGAGAAGCGCAACTAAAATTCCAGAAGAAAATAAAAGAAAGAACAGTTAAAGATGAAAAAGAAATTATTTTAAAAGAGAAACAACGCAATCGTGATCTAGAAAACAAAAAAATGGAAAAACTGCGACAGAAACAAAATAAAGACCGAGAAATAGCGGAAATAAACAAAACAATGTAAGTTGTAAATGTTTCCAATTAAAACATTAATTATAATATGTTTCATGTAATTGTTACTTTTCTAGGTACGAAACACAAAATGCAAAATTCATTCATGATAAAGAAACACAGAAAGAGGCAGAATTAGAAGACATGAAGATAATAAAAGACCTTCTAAAAAATGAAACAAAATTTCGAATTAAAGACAAATTAGTAAGTGAATGGACATTTTTCAACATATGATTTGTTTGTAACGATTTCGTTAGAAACAAATCATATGTTGAAACATTACATATTTATGTATATACGATTTTGAATAGTTCAAATTAAAGAAAACTGATATCTATCTCAATTCCAAAGGATGCAAACAAACAAATAGTTCAAGACAATGTTAAATATTGTCAATATAAAAAAGAATTAGAAGAAATTCGATCAAAAGAACAAAAAGTTAACGAAAACATCAACAGATTGTGGCATGAATATTACGATAGAGTTCGTCTTAAGACAAACATTGTGCATGAAGAAGTAAGCAAATACAATTTTTTAAATAGGACATACGTATAGTCTTACAGGGAATATAAAAAAACCTGGCTTAAGTGCGCTTTAATCTTTTTCTTTACATGTTACATCAGTTTTCAATATTTCCAGGTTTAAATATTCCTGGTCAGGCCATAATATTGAAAATAGATTGTAACAATAAAGATGGCGAAAACTCTATATTGGCGTTTAAAAATAATTTCTAGATAATTTCTTAACTAAAAATATTAGGAAGTTGTGTACAAAATGATAACATTTATTAATTCAATTTAAAAAGGTCAAAAAGAAGGATTCCTGTAAAAAGATGCAGCTGTTTCAAAACCTCGAACAGGTAAAGAAGATAGAGGAAAACAAATACAAAGACTTCGTTGATAAAGGAATAAAACGTTTAGAACAAAAGTAAGTTTATAGGGTCAATATTTATGTAGTAGTCACTGTAATGTGTAACAATTTAATCGATAAATTACAATACAATATAAAGTATTTATTTTACCAGACTACACGAAGAATATAAACATAAAGAACAAAAGAGGAACACAGAAAATAAGTTGGTTGCAATTAATTCGATTACTGAACAAGAAAATGTACCAAAAACACAACAAAATAGAAACACACAAAACATTTCTAAAGTTTGTCACTGCGATAGACAAACAATTGTTTGCAAACCTTCGAAAAAAAATTCCAATGCTAGAAACTTCAAGAAAGGTATTTATAATATTTGCAACGAACTACTTGTAAAAACCTATACATATTAAATTAATAAAACCTATTTTTAATAGATGAGCCACTTCAATTATTGGAGCCAATGAAATCTTTAGGAGATAAATTAAAAAAGCGTGAGAAAGAACCATTTCCTTGGAGCGGAACGAAAGCAGCGCACGAACAATTTGCACAGGAAGCGGGTAAAATATTAGGAGAATGTCGATTTAAAACAATGGCGCGAAAAGTTGTCGACGTAAGATTTTTACCACAAAATTATATACTATGCTTTGCTTTTTATTTTTAGATTTTCTTGTAGTATTAATAGCTAAGATGTGATGAATATGGAAAAAAATCCTCACATTTCAGTTTGCTTATTTTATTTGGAAAAATCAAAAATTTTGTAAAATTCCCTTTATGTTTGTATTGAATTAATATTTTTATTTTCAGGAATACAGAAAAATCAATGGTTTGAACGCCAACGACTTACCTATTACGAATTATTTATAGCTTTTATATTTGTTGGGTTGATTTACTTGGGTTTTAAAAAATAAAAAATACAAATTCTACAATCATTATACATTTTATTTAATTCTAAACACTTATTTACAAAACATCTGTCCTTAGAAAAGATTGGCCATCACTTTGTTATACATTTCGTTCATTCTACGGTACATGTTACAAATAATTCAAATATCAAAAAAAATCATGAGGCTATTGTGGGTAACACTGATTCTCTTAATCTAAAAAGTAAAAAATAAATAACTTCAAACCACAATGTACAAATGCAGTCGACAGATAAATTCGCTAAATTCTTTAGCCTGGGAATGAGCTGTCGACTGCACGCGGTGCATTTCTGAAGTATTTTCACCGTAAAAATGATTGCAGAAAGGCATTTTTTAACTATACTAGAAAAGCAACTGCTTTTATCTAAACATTAATATGTCGAAAACATAAACAACGCTTAGATAAAAGAAGTCTATTATATTTCTAACACACTAATACACAATACGATTGAAAAAAGTAAATTTTAAGACATATATAAGATTTTTAGGATAAATAGAGAAATCTCGGAGCGTGCAATATTTTATCTACGAATGCGTTCAAATTTAGTAATGTTAACGACATTTAACTATTTTTTTATATTAAATTTAATTTTCCACCTCCTTTATGTAAACATCTACCTCCTACCTCCTTTCTGTATCTATCGGAATATTTTCAAATACTAGTAAATCAGTTGTTATTTATGTTTTAATGCTATTGTGTGATATAGTGTGTATTTATCTATATTAATACGTGGCTTGTTTCTGTTTGAGCACGGCCTGCACGCACTTGGCCATGGTGGGCGAGGCGCGGCTGATGGCGTCCGTCATGAAGTAGTCCTCCAGAGACTTCAGCTGCACCTCCAGCTTACCCGACACCGGCTTTTGTACGCTCTATAATATAAAGAAATTATTAAAACATACTAATATTATAAATGCGAAAGTTTAGATGGATGGTTGTATGTTAGTTTGTAGCCAAAACGGCTGAACGAATTTCGATGATATTTCGTATAGATGTAGAGGATTGTCTGGATGAACACATAGGTTAATTTTGTTTTTTTTATTCCACGCGGACGGAGCGGGCGAAAGCTAGTAATATTCTAAAATAATTATTGCATCTTTTGTAACTAGAAAAAAATCTAACTGTACTATTTTGTGAAGCCTATACTTTTACAGCCTCATAAATAAACTGCTTATACTCAGTTTATTCCTACGTGTCAGTTTATACCGCATTATGCCATTTTTATATTTATGCCAACTACCCGTAATTATTCAAAATTTTACAAAACCCGTAAAATAACACAAAAAAACAAGGTAAAAGAAAAAAAAAGATATAACTACAAACGCAACTTGGTTGATGCAAAGAACTAAAGCAGCAGGAACGAAAGAAAATAAAAAAAACACGAAAAATGGTATTTCGTATTAAATATATTTACCTGTGCGAGTGCTCTTGCCTGTGCGAAGTAATTATTGTTCTGGAGGTCTCCGTACGCCACCAGCGCGGGGCTCACCTGCGACAGGCGGTCGCGCACCTCGTCCAGGTTATCATAAGGGAGACGCTCACCGACCACCTCCGATAGAGCCCTGGGTACAAAAATTTTTTATTCTTTTTTTTATCATATAAGATGGCAAACGAGCCAACGGCCACCTGAATCCACCGAAATGAGAAGGGACCGCTCCCCATAAACATTCGCAATTGCAGATGCGTTGCCTACCCTTTATTGACGGAGGAGGAGACGCACATAAAGAGGATATTTCCCCTTCCTATGCGTCTCCTCCACCGTC